ACAGTCTGCAGAATCCCCTCACTGATTACACTGTAAATGATAATCTACCTTAACCAAAATCCAAGTAGACTATCACTCAATATATATCGTCACAAACAGAACTGCCCGGTAAACCGTAGGCAGAGAGAGAGAAGAGGACAACAAACGAGGGGCTGTGGCAAACTGTTTCGTCAGAGTTTCACCGACTCATCAATATATATATATATATATTTTTAAATCATGTAATTAAAATATCGACCAAAATGAGGCCACCAAAAGGTGTGTGCCCCTCGTCAATATCATCCCCCAACTGCAAAATCTCAAAAATTGAAAATAAAATAAAATAATAATATTTATTAATATAATTAGACTTCCAACTGTGCAACTTGTCATTCCAATCTCTTAAAAGTCAAAATAAAATAAAAAGACCCATCACTGCTAGCCGTAGTAGCCGCATTGCAAACCCCCGGGCTGGCCCCTGAACGTTCGGGCGTTCGGGGTCCCGTTCGGGGGCCGAACAGGTTCGTCCCCCGCCAAAAAAAATTTCGAGGCCTAAAAGTAAGTTTTTTTACTGAATTTGTTTTTGAGAGTTCTCTATGATGTAACCTACACGCCCATAAATTTTGAAGCCATTCTGCTAAGCCCAAAAAACATTAAAAATCGTCAAAGATGGGGGTGTCAAAACGTGCTCGCCCACTCACTATTTTGTTTTTTTTCACTTTTAAGTTTTAACTTTTTGTTTTCACTTTATTTCGGGGCCTAAAAAAAATTATTATTTTTTGAAAAGTTTTTAATGAGTTATTGATTATGTAAACTACATATCTGTAAATTTTCAGGGCATAGGCAATGCCAAAAAATAATTAAAAATCGGCAAAGATGGCGGTGTCGAAAAGGTGCTGGCACACTCACTCATTTTAATTCTCTTTTTATTTTTTCTTATTTTTATCATAGTGTTTTTTTTTCTGTATTTGATTTTTAATTCAAATATGGTAAAGAATTTGGATGTAGTGCCCAGGCAAATGTTGTTTAGTTTATTTATCATAGTTTTTTTTCGGAATTTTTTGAGAAATGCAACTCGCTTGCAGTACCGGATGTGACCAGCATTTGGCACCATCCGGTGCCTAACTACCGCCTTCACCTGAGTAGAACACCTGCTGTATCTGTACCGAAAGTTATGCCACATTTATGTTTAATAACTGGGGTTTCAGTTTGGGGTGACGACGGTACACTGGGGGGGGGGTACTGGAGGATTAGTTCTGCAAGTCCCAAAAGATGGGACCTGGGACTTGGGTACCATAGTTGCACTGCTGTATCTTGAGCGGACCTGGGTACCATAGTTGGGACTGCTACCACAGTCCTACCGCCATTACCGCTGTGCTGCAGTTACTGCAGTTAACCACGGTAACCAGCGTAACCACGGTAAACGAGCAGAACTACACCCACGAGTTACGAGCGCATACAGCAACCGCCGCCTTGGTGTATTTGATCGAACTGTATTTCGTCGCGGCATATACGATCGAAGTGTATTTGTGGCCCTTAGTTTCCCATTGACAACCCTTTCTTTTTTTTCTTTTTTTTTTTTTGATTCAATGTGGAGGATAAGGTGGGCTGGGTCCGCATCTCCGATGCTTGCGAGCGCGCCTCGATCCTTTTCGCATTGTTTTTTTTTGCATTAACTGGGTTGGACTTCTATGTAGGCAGACAGAGTTACGGCTTTAGTAACTGCGGTACATTGTTAGTAACTGTGGTAGCAGCAGTAGAGGGGATACCTCTACCAGCTGCAGTAAATACAGTTTTACCACAGTTAATCTCGGTGTGTCATACCATGGGTGGTGAGTGGAGCGCTACCACCTCCAGTTACACGCGCAAGCACCTGGTTAACATTTTGCCCCAACAATGATGCACCAAGCAACCCTACTTACTACACATGCATTCATGCTGGGGTTAACTTTGGTAAAACTGTAGTTACTGCAGCTGATAGAAAATTACCCCCACTACTGCTGCTACCTTAGGTAGCAACAATGTACTGCTCTTGGTAAGACTGCCGTTACGGCAGTCGGCGGAGTTATGCCCACTGCTGCAGCTACCACAGTTACGAACATTGTGCTGCAGTCACCACAGCAGTAACTCTGGTAAAACTGTGGTTACTGAGTTAGTAGAGTTATGCCCACTACTGCAGTTACCACAGTTAAAACAACAATCTGCTGCAGTTACCACAGTTACCAACAACAAAAAATAAAAAATGTGCTGCATTACCACAACTGCCAGATGTCAGCTGACCATCATGACTCGACTACCAAACCATACAGTCAGTTGCAATGGTGACCTGGGCAATAGATACCACGATACCACTAATAAAAAGAGAATCAGAAGCAGAAAAAGAAAAAATATATATGGAGTATTATGAACCAATTAACAACAAGTTAACAACAACAACAACAAAAAAAAAAAAAAAAAGAGAGAAAAGAACTTCAAAAAAAAAAAGGGAAAATTTTTAGAAAAGAAAAGAAAAGAAAAAGCAACAAAGACAAAAAGTAAACAATCCTAATAAGTTAACAACTAATAATAACTTAATAAGTTAATAACCATGATTGAAATGGTAATTACTAATTAAAGATCGTTAAGGTTGCTACAGTTACTGCAGTTAACCCAGTTACCCTGGTTACCACAGTCGAAGTGCTGCGGTTACTGACGTTCGTAACTTACCACCAACCCAACTTGCACCAAAAGTTTCACTGCGACATTTTGTGTTGCCGACACCACAATTCCACAGTTACTGCAGCGAACCCAGTTCCAGTTACCCTCGTTACCACAGTCGAAATGTTGCGGTTACTTACCACAGTCTTAATACTGCGGTTACTGAGTATTAGATTGGAATCTAGATTGGTGTTGAAACTCCCACTCCCATGCGTACACTGTAGAGACACAGTACAGTAGTAAAACTATAGTCACAAGGCAAATAGTCACAAGGCAAATTGTCTTCTTCTTCTTTCGCTAGCCAAGGCAAAAGCAATGTTGCCGCCCAAGAAAAGACTCTTCTTTTACGACTTCTTTCCTCTTCTTCTTCTTCTTCTTCTTCCTCCCACACCACCCTTTCTTCTCTCTATGTCGTCGTCCCACCGCAGAAACAGACACAGTACAATAGTGCAAAGGCAAATTGTCCAAGGCAAAGACCAAGTTGCTGCCCAAGGCAAAGACCAAGTTGCTGCCCAAACAAAGCCCTTCCTCTTCTTCTTCTTCTTCTTCTTTTCACCCCACCCTTCCTGGTCCCAATTTGTTGGTCCCACCCCATCCTTCAATATATCGTTGTCCCACCCCACCCTTCCTGGTCCCAATTTGTTGGTCCCACCCCACCCTTCCTGCTCCCAATTTCATCACCCCACCCCATCCTTCCTGGTCCCAATTTGTTGGTCCCACCCCACCCTTCCTGCTCCCAATTTCATCGTCCCACCCCATCCTTCCTAGTCACAATCTAATATATATCGTTGTCCCACCCCACCCTTCCTGGTCCCAATTTGTTGGTCCCACCCCATCCTTCCTGCTTCTATAATTCCTTCGTCCCACCCCACCCTTTCCTTCCCCATAATGCTGGAACAGACCCCTCCCCATAATTCACCATCGTATGGGACGTATGGGTTTCGCTCTACCTATAGATGCGCATTTCGGACGTATCCTACACCAGGGGGGGAGGGGGGGGGGGGGGGGGGGGTTATATCATGTGGGTGACCTGATCTAAACGGTGATACCGCATCGCATCCCATAGCTCCACTAACTCTATAGATTCAAATGAATGATGAGACGTGTGTGACATTTCAATCGCATGCAACGACTGTCCCAGAAAATGGCCACCAACATCTTGGGGGTGACATGACCTAGCATATCCATTTCCCAAAAAAAAAAGAATAGAAAAAGATGCAAACATTTCAATCACGTGCAATGAATGTCCCACACAATAGCTGCCACCATCGTGTGGGGGACCTGACCTAACACAGCCATATAGAATCAATGTATCATTCACAATTTCACACATTTCAATAAAGTGCAACGAATGTCCCACACAATAGCTCTGACCACCGTGTGGGTCACCTGACCTATACCCATTGCTGGAACAGGCACTGTTTCACTCTATAGATTGCTCTCCAGGGTGACCCAATCTGCCCATCCTTGTCCCATTGCTGTCCCACGGTCCCCTTCTTGTCCCAATTGTGGAACAGGCAATGTCCCCATGGCCTCATTCTTGTCCCCAATGCTCGAACAGGCAATGTCCCATGGTCCCATTCTTCTTCCCATTGCTGGTACAGGCAATGTCCCATAGTCCCATTCTTGTCCCCAATGCTGGAACAGGAAATGTCCCATTACTGGTACAGACAATGTCCGACGGTCGCATTCTTTTCCCCAACCCAATCTCGGAATAGGCAATGTCCCATGGTCCCATTCTTGTCCCAAATTCTCGAACAGCCAATCTCCTGTGTTCCCATTGCTGGGACAGGCAATGTCCCATGGTCCCATTCTCGTCCCCATTGCTCGAACAGGCAATCTCCTGTGTTCCCAGTGCCGGGACCGGCAATGTCCCATGGTCCCATTCTTGTCCCTAAGCTGGAACAGCCAATGTCCCACAGTTACCTAATGCGGGGAGAGGTCGAGACGACTACAATCACACACCGGCACCCAGCGTTGCAAGATGTCCCGCCGGCATGATGGCCTCCACCGCTTTGCGACATCACATTGACATAAAGCGCAAATCGTCGAATTGGCACGTGGGAAGAGCACGCTTCGGACTACGCGCATCGGCGCGTCACATCAACCAACGCATGCATGTGCACGTCAAATATAAACCCATGCATGCGCAAGCCAAATGGACATACGCCCACGTCAAATTGGCTCGCATCCCCCATCGGAACACCAGGAACGAGCTGCAGTATCCCTCTTTCCTTTCTCTTTTCTTGTCTATCCAACAGAGTCCCCAGTCTATGGTATAAGCCGCTCGTAACTTAAGTTCGCTACGTAAGGGAGGATATAGTAAAAGCCTCCTCCTGCAAGCAAGTGCCCAAACAACAAAAAAGCAGAGAAACATGACTAGGAAAGCACGGTACAACGGTACTACAACCCCAACCCTTCCTTGCCAAAGACAGAGGAAAAGGTGCGAGGTGCGCAGCAGCACAAAGAAAAGTTACGAAACCGCATTCGAAATCTTAAAAAAGAAACATCAATTTAAAGGATCAATAACAAAGAAGCCGAATAACCTAAAGACTAGGTCTCTTCTGCCACCACATCCTCTATCCCCTTCTCTCTCTCTCTCTCTCTCTCGTTCCTGTCTCTTATACACATCTAGATGTGTATAAGAGACAGGTACAGGCCAGAAGGACAAGCAACCAAGAAAC